ATTTAAAATTATATATATAATTAATAAAAAAATAAAGATAATTATAGAAACTTTATATATTTTAGTAATTATCGTTTTAGGGAAAAAAAAAATACCTGTACATAAACTACCAACTATGTCATTTTATCATAAAAGCATATTAACCTAACCAGCGCGTGTAATGCAACGGCGCGTGAGTAAACGAAAACTACACGCGCTGCCTCCTATCTTTAAACCCTGTATATATATTCTAAGAAAGTCATCGCGAGAGAGAGAAGAGAGAGAGAGAGAGACTCCATTGATGTACATGATCCATTAACCAACGGAGATGGGTAGAAATCGGCTTCACGGGAAGCCGTCAAACGGCGATGTGGTGCTCGCCGTCGTCGCTGGCTTTTTGTTTCTCTCTCTCCCGTTGGTGTGCTTTGGAATTCGTTCTTTTCCGGTGAACGGAGAAATCTTGACTCAGCTCGGAACGGATTTGATTGGCTTCACGGAAGCGCCGGAGTATCGTAACGGAGTCGAATGCTCAAACAATACTATCCACATCGCAATGACACTCGATTCCGAGTACCTTCGTGGCTCAGTCGCCGCCATCCACTCCGTTCTCCGCCACGCTTCTTGCCCAGAAAACGTGTTTTTCCACATCATCGCCGCCGAGTTCGACCGAGCGAGTCCACGGGTCTTAACTCGGATTGTCCGGAATACGTTCCCGTCTCTCAACTTCAAAGTCTACATTTTCCGGGAAGACACAGTGATCAATCTGATATCGTCGTCGATCCGGGTCGCTCTCGAGAACCCGTTAAACTACGCCCGAAACTATCTGGGCGAAATTCTCGACCCGACTGTCGAACGGGTTATCTACCTCGACTCCGATGTCGTTTTGGTCGACGACATTAACAAGCTATGGAGCATCACTTTGCAGAACAACCGTGTGATCGGAGCTCCGGAGTATTGCCACGCGAATTTCACGAAATACTTCACAGAAACGTTCTGGTCCGACCCGTTAATGTCTCGGGTATTCGCATCGAAGAATCCATGTTATTTCAACACCGGTGTGATGGTAATGGATATGGTGAAATGGAGAGCTGGGAACTATCGCCGGAGAATCGAAAACTGGATGGAATTGCAAAGAAAAAAAAGGATTTACGACTTGGGTTCCTTGCCGCCGTTTCTACTGGTGTTCGCCGGTAACATTGAGCCGATTCACCACCGCTGGAACCAACACGGACTCGGCGGAGATAACGTGAAAGGCAGCTGTCGGTCGCTGCATTCCGGTCCGGTGAGCTTGCTTCATTGGAGTGGCAAAGGGAAGCCGTGGGTCAGACTCGATGAAAGGAGACCTTGTCCATTGGATTATCTCTGGCAGCCGTACGATCTTCATCAGCATAAGAATCAATATCAACCGTTGGATTGAATAATTGATAACTCTAATTATTTAATTTAATTTCATTAAGAAAAGAAAAAAAAAAAAAAATAGAATCTTTTGGTTTATACTTTATCATTTTGTTGTAGTTTTTGGTGAACATGTCGATTCAGAGATTCTTTGAAAGCTGTGTACAGAAATACATACAATGTGTGACTTTTTTATTGGAAATAAAATTGGGATTTGGGAGGTCTATTTCTTTTGTAATATGTCGTTACAAAATTTGGAGTTTGACATTTTTGGATTATTTGTTGATATTATGTTGTAATATTACTTTTGGAAATAATATGTTTTTTCAAGAGATTTTGTTTGTTAATTGTAGTGGAGAACTAATATAACAAATACGGTTTGGTTAACTTAGGACCAACAATTCTCGATACAATCCGTAACATGACACAAAATAAATGAGTTTGGATTGAGTTTTTTAACCCGCCAATCCGTTTATTAAACGGGTTATATATGAGTTTTTTTAAAAAATAAACGGGTTGGCCCGCCAACCCGTTTTATTTTTAATAAAAAAAGTTATTTTATTTTTAAATATATTTATGTATCAAGTATTAATATTTAATAAGTATTATATAATATATAGTATTGATTCATAGACGATTTAATTGTTTTGACATTTTAACTCGTGGTGGATGATCTAAGGTCGTAAGTCGTAACCTATAAGGCTAAGTCTGTAACCATTTTGCCCATTTTTACTAAATAATAATCTAAATTTCAAATCACATACGAGTGTATCTCCCTCTTCCAGACTTCCAGTCTTCCACAGTCTCACTCTCCCCTCTGTTACTCTGTGATTGAAATCAGGGATCGAAATCATATTGGAGAATTGATTTTGTTTTTTTAGGAGAAAAAAATAGAAATTGTGGTTGTTACTTTAGCATTTGAATTATCTATATTTGTATTAATGTTTAGTTTGAACATGTTTCCATAAATGTTTTTAATTTTCATTTGGATGTTTAAGATTTAAGTGTTTAAAATTCGGATATGTTTGTATCAACCATCAAGAATTTATTCATATTTAATTGTTAATTTTATTTATGAAATCTGATCCACAAACCCAAATCTGATCTACGAACTCGCCAACCTGTGAAGCTGTATAAATAAATGGGTTGACGGGTCATATATAGGTTTATGTTTCAAACCCGTCAACCCGCGACCTGTCAACCCGTAACATGTATATTTAAATGAGTTATGTTTGGGTTGATTTATTTTGACCCGCCTACCTGAACACGACACGATTGTTAGGTGTACTATAACTAAATATAAAAACTTTTATTATATCATAATAACTAAATATAAAAATGGTATATAAATTAAAATGCATGTTTCATTCCATTTACTTTGGTGAAGCATATTCAACTCGTTTTATATGCTTTACATAAATTAATTCAATGGAAAGTATTAAAAAAAAAAACTTACTTTACAAGGACTTGTCATGGAAATTGCATTTCGATTAAGTTTTCCCGATGACCATTGACTTATAGATATGCATTCCCCCATACCACCACCATTAGTAATGGTCCATGACTTGTGATCCTTAAGCTTCAAGCAATTGACTACTCATGTACCAATGAAACTGGTCAAAAGAGATTCAAATTTACCTATTAATTTGTTTATTTATTTATATCAATAAAATGAAACATTTTAAGAAATACAAGATGTTTATAAATTTATACGCATTTGGGGTATATCTTATGATCCTAAATACATATCAAGAACAAGATTGTGCAAAACAATATTTGGCGTACCCTAAATATGTATATCTTCTTATCCTAAATGCCTATCAAGAACAAATTTAAGTTTGTACACGTATTTATATATAGTTAAGCTAACTTATAATCGTGAGTTTAGCTTTCAGGGTTAAGCATTATCTATAAACTATTATATAGACGTTAATATACAAAATATTTACTCCCGTAATTAATTTTCTATGTATTTCTACTATAATAATGTAAAAATGTGATGTCGATGAATAATTATTAAAAATACTGAGTTATCGGACTTAATCAAATTTCAAAATATTCAAGAGAAAATGATAAATTAGGTTAGTCTTACATATTATTTCTAAAAAGTAGTCAACGATTAGCAAATGTACCGAAATAGTCATAAATTTTGTAAGTCACCATCTGCGGAAATCGCATGCACCTGCGAAAATTAAGATTTTTGCTAGCGGCAGTGGACCTGTGAAAATTGGTCAAAAGCTTATTCTTTCTAGAAAAAAAAAACATGTATTGGCATGTCTAGTGAACTACGAAAATCATAGTATGTACTATGAACATCCGTACACAATATTATGGTTATGTTATAAGACATCTTTTTGTTAAAACATGTTTTCCGCTTTTGATTGTCTAAATTTGTCATCAAATATGAAAATCCGTACAACGTAAGCGTATTACAGTTATGTTATAAGACATTTTTTTGTTAAAAAATGCTTTTCATTTTGCGCTATCTAAATTTCTCAACAAATTTTGCTGTTTTTTATTTGTTAGCAAAATTCACCATCTTATCATTTTCTGATTTTGTTAAAGAAAACATGACTTCAAATATTTCAGGATAGTATTTTATTGGTGCGTTTTTATGGTTTATGACAGTTAGCAAACCATTCTTTATATTCCTACATGGTAAAAAGAGATATGGCAAGGACATAAAATCTATTATTATAGTATTAGACTAGTACACTAGCTAATATAATATTGCCAAGGGCTTCATTTCTCTTCCTATAAATACTAACTCATCTCGACACTCCAGGTAAGCGCCTCTTACTCATTTCAACCTCTTTTATGGAAACATCTCTATCTCCGCACAATTGGATCCAACCCGTTAGGTGGATTCGACACACTCTCTCTCTCTCTCTCTCTTTCTCTCTCTCTCTCTCTCTCTCTCTCTACACTAATTATCTAACTTAATCATCAGAGCTTGCTCCCAAGGAACAGTCATTGGGGCAAGTTTAACGGTCTTTTTTTCTTATTGTTGCCTAGGTGTTATAGTCGAAATCCAACCATTACGCACACCCAAAGGATATACGAGCTAGACCCAACAACCGAATAACCGATTACAGAACCTGACGTAGCTACACAAACAAAAAACATATTTTGGAGATATGCCTAATATCAGTATTTTTTTCCATAACCTAAATTGAAGTATGTTATAAAGATAATTAATGAGGGTGATGTGAAATATTTAAAAAAATTATTCATCAACTTCCAACTCATGTACATTTGTATCTGGTGAATAATAATCTTATGGAAGTGGCATAAACTGATTAATACGATTCCACAATGCGGTCTGTTGGTGGTAGGAACCAATCCAACAGAAGAGGCTCGAGTAGCGTAAGAGGCAAAAGCTATGATGAGAACTGATCTAACAGAAAAGCTAGCAACAATCAAGAATGTATTTAATCTCTCTAAACGATCTTTATAATCTTGGTTGATATATTGCATATAGAACACAGATACAACAACAATTCAATATATAAGTTGTTTATGAAAACATGTATACGTATCGACACATTCAATTTGCCAATCATGGATATGATGTATTGTTTCAAACATCGGTAGTACCATATCAAACACTAATAGTACCATATCAAATGCCGACAGGTCCTTATCAAATGCAGGTAGAACAACAAATTCATTATGCCGATCCAGTAAAATATCAATACTTAGTTGATGACGATTTTAGCACAGATAAAAATGATGTTGAGATTGGTGCATATAACAATGAGGCTAATAATGTTACATGTAACAATGATGATAATTATAGTATACTCATGAATGTTGTTGATGCTTGTACATGTTAGAACAAAGGTGGTAATGATGATTATATAGAAATTAAGGAGTCAACAGATGAAGTTTGATTTGGTATATTAGATTTAGAAGCAAATGATTCTAAAAATGAATGGGTGGTTGAAGTAAATAATTACTCAGAAAGACCATTCTTTGGTATGCCTGATATACTAGCATGTCCTGACGCGATGTATTCAACCACTCCATTAAACATCCAAAACACTACATATACGATAAAACAGCCACAAAATAGATACAAAGACACCCTACTACTAGCACTAGAACTGAAAAAATATGGAGGTGGTATTTCAGTACAAAATTATCATATGTATAAAAAAAAGAGGTTCCATGGAGCATGTTTTGATGAAAATTGTCATTGGTGTATTTCATCTGTAAAAATGGACAATTGTAGCATGTTCCAAGTCCGCAAACTTATGGACCAACACACTTGTTTTTCAAAACAATTGAACCCAAACCATCGTCAAGCAAGCAAAAAAGTGTTGGGACATTTTGTTGCAGAGTTGTTGGGTAGTGATCATTATACAACCTACTAGAGAAGGGATATCCAAAAAAGATTTCACTTTGAGGTACAATATTCATTTTTCTACAAACAATCATGGATGCCAAATCGTATGTGTTGTGATATGTCTCCAACTTAACTCCATCTCTTTGAGGGATGGAAATGAAGGGCCTGAGAATCACAACAAAGAAAACAAGATCGTCAATCATTGCCCGAGAGGCAGTCACGAAATGTAACTTTGACGATCAAGTCAGTTTGTCTCTTAGAAGGTGAAAAAGTGTTATGTAAGAGTTTTAGGGTTTATTTCTCGATCCCTTCTCTTGCAGGAGAAGGGACCTTTTTATACTTGTGGTTAGGGGAGAAGATCCCCGACAACATCTTTTACCTTTTTCAGTTTGGCAGGGATAGACGTCCTTTGATTAGTAGATCATGCTCCGCACGTGGTCGTTTTCCATTGGTGTTGGTTTTCCAGGAGAAATATTCTGAGCACTACACCTATCACTCTGAGAGGAGATTGGTACTATTTTGTATTGACACTGGCTTTGGCCCTTGGGTGCCAAGGAATGAATATAGGATCGTAAGAGTGAGGACCCAGTGTTAGGCATACGCTGCTCTTTGCCCAAACCGTCTATCAGACAGACGGTTCCGCTATATTTGACATATTCCTGGTGGGATATATTAACAAGTTCCTTAGGCTAGTTGAACTCAGCGTTTGCTTAGGGTAGTTGAGTAGTTCTAGCTTAGACTTGGGCACACGTTCGGTAGGAACGGTTCATGACGTGTTTCTGATGTAATAAAGTCGTTCTAGCGAGATAGCGTCATTTCATTTTATTGTTTTTTCTTTTTTATAAGGTCCCTCTATCTTTAAGAATGGTTATATGCTTCCTCTCTCCATAGTCCTCCGTCTCATCCTCTTTTATTGCTTCTCCTTTCTCCCATATTTTCTCTCCAATTCTTGATGGCCTTTGTTAGATCTGGAATAGCTCCTACACCCGAGGAGTTCGAGTCTCTTCAATTCCGGTTTGGGTTCATGCATGAGCATGGAGTTCAATTCTTGTCGGAAGGGTCTACAGTTTATCAACCGCCAGCAGGGAAGGTCGGTATTCCGGTAGCGATCTTCGAGGCCGGGTTTCGTCTTCCTGTTTTTTATTTCTCCAATAAGGTTATGCAAGAATAGAGTAAATTACTGAAATCATCCCTATGGTTTGGTTAAAATTGTACATTTAGTCCCTAACTTTTCTTTTGCACTCGGATCGTCCCTATGGTTTGATTTTGTTGCAATTTTGGTCCATGTGGTTTGATTTTGTTGCGTTTTTCGTCCCTTACATACATAAAGTATGGGACCAAACATGCAATTTTGACCAAATCACAGGGACGAAAAATGCAACAAAATCAAACCACATGGACGATCCGAGTGCAAAATAAAACTTAGGGACCAAATATGCAATTTTAACCAAACTACAGGGACGATTTCAGTAATTTACTCACAAGAATATGGTTTATCTGTTCACGACTTGACCCCCAACGCTGTGAACAAGATAGTTGGGTTTATGTTAGGGTGTCGAGCATTGGATGTGCTTCCCCATCTTCAAGCATTCCAATCTTTCTTCAATACATCTACCCATTTGGGTGTTCACACCTTTTGTCAGCACCGTAACACACATTCCTTTATAGTTAACTAGAACGCACCTAGAAGAATTGACATGATCGGTAGCTGTGGGTTAATAGTGATTTGGTCAGGGTTGGCTATCCTTGTGTACCCATGGCTTCGGATCGGGCACCCCAACTATCGGTGGTCGGTTTTTTGGTATCTCATGTGTTAAGAGGGATTTGTTTTAACGGTGAATATTGACCGGACTGTGTATTGGTAGCAACGGGAATGAGCGCTTCTTGGCGATCGCGTGGAAAGATGTCTCAGTTTTTTGTGGACAATGATCGTAAGTGCTACATTCCTTCCCCCCCCTTTTTTTTTGCCTTTCTTTATTTGATATTGAGTTTCTTTTGCTGAAAAGAAGGGGGTTTTGCGTTATTGTCGTTGCAGGTAGCGAGAGGTTTTTATCTCTTGAACAAGTGTTGCGAGGGGATTTGGAAGGGGATCTTCAATATCAGGAAGTCCCTCAAGTGGAGACACTATTAGCTCCAGCCAAAGTTAGCCCTGTTTTGAAGGGCAATGTCCCTCCTGTCGAAGCGGAGGTTAGGGCTACTTCTCCGGTTAGTGATCGGGTGTGGCTAGCAGTCAAGTCATCTCCTGACGTCGGTCTGCTGTTACGGATTCCACTCTTAAGGAGGATATCGGTGGTAGTACTATTGGTTGGCGTTTACATCAGAAACGCACCATCCATCCTCTGCTCGCTAACTCACCCATTGTTATTGGGATTCTTGATGGTGACGACCCGCAAGTGATAGAGACGATGGGTTTGTGTCGTGTAACGCCTGGTTCCTGCTTGTGGAAGAAGACGAAGCTAGAGGTGTAACACCCCGAGTTTTGAAGTGAAGATTCAGGGTGCTTGGTGTAATTGAGGAGGATCGACTCGGCGAGTCCATGGGTAGACTCGACGAGTAGAGTCGTGGTTTTGGTGACGTGCTTAGTGACCAACTCGGCGAGTCGGCGGCTGGACTCGGCAAGTTGGTGCTGAAGGGAGTAAAACCCTAATCCAAGTTTTGTGCCATATATATAGCTCATTATAGCCACCCTCAGCCTCTTTACCTTCCCACTTGAGATCCAGAAACCCTCATCGCGTGTGTGACTCCATTGTTGAGAAAATTGAAGCTTTGAAGAAGGAATTGGTGAAGAGAACGTTAGAGGAAGTTGAGGATAGCATCAAGAGAGCTTGTGGATCTGAAGCCTACATCAATTTAGACTCATCTCTAAGGTAAAAGGACCTTACGTTAAGCTATTTCCTTGTTATTTCATCCATGGTGTGTGACTTGGGGTTCTTTAGCATAGTTGGGATCTATTTCGGGTATGAAGACTAGATTTGAGGTTGCAACTTCAGATCTAGGTTGGTTTGGAGCCAAGTGATCAGAAAGTGATAGCTTTGCGGCGTGATTGAGAGCGTCCTTGCCTTAAACCTTCATTTTTAGCTTGTTGAGCCTTGCATGCACGTAAAGTTGGAAACTTTACGTGTGAATCTGTCCCTAGGAGTCAAGATCTGTGTATTGGAAGCATTGGAATGCCCTGAAATCGTCTAGATGAAGATGTCACGTTTGGACTCGGCGAGTCACATGGGTGAACTCGCCGAGTAGTATGAATATATGCATGAACTCGACAAGTTGGAAGAACAACTCGGCGGATCTGTTAAAGATTGCCTTGGACTCAGCGAGTCTGTTCTTGGACTCGGCGAGTCTGGTCGTGAAGTCCTAACCTTTTTGGTTGAGCTGTGAATCGCTGAGTCGAGGGACGACTCGGTGAGTTGAGCAGGAAGTGACTCAGAGTTTGTTGGACTTGGCGAGTCTTGGGACGACTCAACGAGTTGAGTCGTGGATTGGGAGTTTCTGAGTATAAGGACTCGACGAGTCAGAGGGTTGACTCGGCGAGTCGAGTCAGTCAGGAAGGTTGACTTTGACTGAGGACTTTGACTTTGACCAAGAGTTGACCAGTTGACTTTTAGGGGTATTTTGGTAATTATTAGTATTGACTGAGTTCAGTGTTTTGGTATTGATCAGTGGTGGAGTTCGTATCAGAGGTAGGAGCAGCGTGATCTTATCTTTTCAGTCAGCAGTTGCGAGGTGAGTTATCCTCACTATACTAAGGGGTCTAAGGCACCAAGGCCGGCCCATTGGATTTGATATCCTAGTAGTTATTGATATGTTGAGTTGTGTTAGTAACGTATGCTAGTTGATATGCTAGTCGGGTAGATCTGTAGGACTGCCTGTAATACTGATTGATTATTTATATGTGCATTTATCTGTTACATGTTAACATGTTAAGTGGGATGGGTTGAGGTTGTAATGCTTTGTGCGGTAGCCAACAAACCCTAAAGTATTCCAGATATGAGCTGAGGGCCCGATAGGCATTCCAGACTCATATTGAGGACTCGGGAGTATTCCAGATATGAGCTGAGGGCCCGACAGGCATTCTAGACTCATACTGAGGACTCGGGAGCATTCCAGTTATGAGCTGAGGGCCTGATAGGTATTCCAAACTCGTACTAATGGCTCGATGGCATTCCAGATACGAGCTGAGGGCCCGATAGGCATTCCAGACTTGTACAGAGGGCCCAGGGGGAGTCCAGCTTGTAAAGCTGTGGACCCAATACATGTTGTTCTGTTTTGGTTGATTTGATATGTTAAAGTTGATATTGCTATCTGGACTGTATGCGTATCGGTATTTTGGGGGTAACTCACTAAGCTTTCGTGCTTACAGTTTCAGTTTATTGTTTCAGGTGCATCAGAGGATCGTGGCAGGGCAAAGCTGTGATTGTACAACTCCTCACTTTTTAAGACTATGTTTCTGGGATACTCTGATATTCTGCATTTTGAAAACAAGTTTGTAATAAATAATGGTTTTAGGTTGTTTAAAAAGTTTTAAATTGGCTTGAATTTTACGGGTATTACAAGTTGGTATCAGAGCCTTGGTTTGAGTGAATTGGAGGAACACTCGTGTGAATCCAGTCTCAAATCAAGGAAAGATTTTCAAGATAAGTAAAAGAGGATGCGAAGTGTACGATCAGTCGAAGCCAGTAAGTAGACCCCTGAAGTACCATACTGTTAATTGATATTGTGATATGTTAGAAAAGCATGCTAGTAGTAGGCTAGGGATTTTCAGGAATTGCATGAAAGAATTGCCTGATTATATGATGCCAGATAGCCTAAGGATTTCTTTATATGAAATTGACATCATTACTATAGTTGCTTAGTGTATGCATCATGGTTGTACATAATTAAGATCTTATAGCCTGAGAATATTTGATTTGGCCTTATGTTCTGTTCTTTTTTGATTGGGAGCTTAGGGTAGGATTGGATATTCGAAAGTTTATGGGGTCCAACATTATATACGGCTAGCATACACTAGTGCTGCAGGGTTGGTGGAAGTTTCATGGATGAGTGGGTTGTGTGAGACCAGTAGGTCGGTTATGAGATAGTGATGCTCCTCTAGGAGTGGGATCGAGTGTTGATTATCTATATGCTATTGCTAGGGTGTTGTGGTGATACTTGATACAAATATGGGTAGGTGTGGAAGGTAGTATGGGCCCGTACTACTGAAAGCACAGGACCCATACGCATATCAAGGAAGTCACAACCCTAGGGTTTTGTTAGGAGCTAGTTCTCGGAGTATTATGGGGAATGCCTTATATCTTGTGGTGTATTTTCTGTATGGCGATTGCGTGATGTTTTAAAACCGGATCTGGATCGGGATCGGGAGCTGGCAGCCATGATAGGCCAGTATTGCCAAGGAATTGTGTCAGTGAGATCATCCGAGAGGAGGTGATCAAGATCATTCGAGGACAGTTACCGAGAATGTTTGGGTCTATTAAGACCGCCATGGTTGCGTATTTTGACAAGCGCTATGCAGCCATTGCATAGATGGCTACCGCAACAGCTTCAGCAACTGTATCGACGGTAGGAGAGGAGCTGGTCGAACTTTCCAGTGTTGGGACTTTTTATTGGCACATATTCTGATGACCAGAGGGCTGCAGTTATCTGGGATCAGGAAGATGATCTGTATTTGTCTTTTTCGCGGGTTGGGCGGGAGAGGCTAGTACATGAGTTTCTAGATTTTTGGCTTGAGGGTTGCTCGAGGCCAGAATGAGAGTGGTGGGGACTCCGGAAAGGAGGGATGACTATATTCAGTTGAGGTTTTGCAGCTGGAAGGGGAATGGTTAATTGATGGATTGGATTGTCGTTTTGTAGGGCAAGAACTATGCCTCTTATCTTTTCGAGCTCAAAGGAGTGAGAAAGCTTGCAACCCTAGGATCAGGTTGTGTTCCATCTCGGGTTAGTTGGTCGCCAGGATTAGCGATAGTATTTCAACGCTGGCGAGCATGGGTGGGTCGATGCAACATAAGTATTTTGGAGTCCATTTCGCCTTGGATCTCTTGTATCGGACGGTAAGGATTGATTATGCGATCTATTGCACTTTCATGATTGAATACTATGTCTTGGGAGTAGTCTGTAGTCCGGTTTAGGGCAGATGTTATTTCAGCTACTACAGTTTAGCTATGGATGATTGAGCAGGTGAGTGAGTCAGGGGTGCGAGACCCTGAATTATATGATTTCTGGAGCCAAGAGCGGGAGATTTGTTGGATCACTTTGGGAAGAAGGTTATTATGTAGGAGGTCTACGGACAGGGTCCTACAGGGTGGTTATTCAACATTATCAGTATTCAGTGGTTTTAGTAACCGTTATTAACTGGCGGATAAGAGCGCTAAGGGAAGTAGCGCGTTGTTGAGATATTAGTTGGAGCATCTATTTTTGGACTTTAGGAATTGGGTGTGGGATCATTCGAGCTTTAGGGACTGTTTCTTTTCCTGGGATGCACGAAGGGTTCATCTAGTTGTTAGAAGCGTGTGATCATTCGGGATTGGCAACTAAGGGAGAACTACTTGGAAAAGTCTAGTTGTCATCAGATCGATCGATGGAAAGTAAGAAGGATTGGGAGTTCTTCAACTTTAATGTATTGTGAGGACTTAGTCAAATCTAAGTGGGGGAGAATTATTCCAGGATTCAAAAGTAGGAGCAGTTTTGAACATGGGATAACCTTCGCGTAGTTGTTAGGAAGGAAGACAACCTTAGTGGTTACCTGGTTTCAGTGTTTTGTGAGTTGGGAATTTGGTAAAACTCCCTAGCATGTATATTGCATTTTCTCGGTGCTTCATAGCAGAACTTGGGAAAATCAGGTTGGACACTTGAGGGTCAACTATCCACAGCTTGTTGCAAGACTGGTTCCGGCTCTGGCCCCGATCACTTTGAGGACTACTGACGGGGGTCAGGGTGAAGCGGAGCCTCTGAGGGCTCAGGATCGAGCTTTTCAGCTTACTGTCGAGGAGGTCAAGGCAAAGCCAGATGCAGTTGTAAGCATGTTTCCATTTTGTTATCTTATGGTTATTATGGAGTATTGTATATCTGCTAGCCTCGTTCGCATGATTCATGGTATTGTATTCGTTCGTCCTTTTATCGGGTTTATCGTATGATTGAGGGTCTTAGCATTAGGAGGCTTAGATGGTTATCATCCATGGGGACTCTTAGTGGGGGGCTAGGCTTCTTGGCCTGATGTTGGGTATAGTATTTGCAATTTGAGGAGTGTTCAGCTGAGGGTCGAACTCCCTTAGAGTTGTGCGATGTCGGGATGTGATTTCGTGAAGGTTGCTCATTTTAAAGGGAATCAATTCATGTATAATGGGAGTGTGTTGAGTAGGGTATTTTATTTGATGCTGGTTGGGTCACTGGTGGTCGGAAGTCAG